ATGAAAATGCCGGCTTCGGGTGGATGGGGGGGGAGGAGGGATTCCCCCCTCCTCCACCCGAGCCGCGTGAAAATGCCAGCTTCGGGTGGATAGGGGGAGGAGGGATTCCCCCCGCATCCACCCGAGCTGGGCTCAAGGAGGGGGGAAGCCGGGCTGGCTAGCTGGCAGTGCTTCGCCATGATCGGAACCGATCATGGCAAAGCAATGCTTAACAGCTGATTGGCGGTTTCAAAATGGCCCCCGGCTGTTTTGCCTCACTTAAGAGGCACAGAAAATGGCCGCCCCTATGGAGGATCTTCACTGAACGGTGAGTTTTCAGTCCATTGGAACGCATTAACCGGGTTTTAATGCGTTTCAATGGGCTTTTTTATTTCCCTTTACGATGTTTCCGTATAGTGATGTTAATCCTGGAACGGATTAACGTCGCTATGCAGGGCACCACTGTACTAACACCACATGCAGTGGTTAATTCTGGTCATTCAGAACCTAGCTGTTCACCCAGACACAGTATTCAGGCCTACCCATGCTATATGATAAGTCAGTCAGGTTTTACTTGGTCTCTGTCAACAGAATATACAAATGATATTTAATTCCATGCAGTAATATTGGTTCTGATCATCAGTGTTTCATTTCCTCTTAACATTCTTTTTTAAATCCTGAAGCTGTTGCCTTGGTCAAGGCCAACCAGTGGGAAGCGGGGAGGTTTCTCTTCGTGTAGTAACAAGTAACATTTTGTTCCCTTTTTGGTCAATTCTTGCATACAATGAATAACAAAATGTGAAATATGTAACTGAAAGGGAGGAAACAATATGTACAAATTAAAAGGGATCTCAACAAATTACAGTGGACCCTCTACTTACAGAATTAATCCGTATTGCAACGGTGGCTGCAAGTCGAAAAGTCTGTGGGTCGAATCTCCATTGACCTACAATGCATTGAAAACCGATTAATCCCATAACTGGCAGTTTTTATTCTATTTTTGTTCCATTTTGGTATTTTTCTGGTCTGTAAGTCGATTCTCCAGCTGCAAGTCAAATCTAAATTTTGCGGCCAGAGAAGTCTGTAACTTGAAAAGTCTGTAAGTCGAGCCGTCTGTAAGTCGAGGGTCCACTGTACTTGTTTTTTAAGCGTCTAACCAATGATGAGACTACCTAATAATATCTCAATCTTAGTGGGATAAAAGTATTGGTTTTTAAACATCCCCCTGCCTGATCTTCCTGGGCTAATAGATTCCTTACTCTGCAAAAGCCATGTGAAATCTGTAATTTCTGCCAAAAATTTGTAAAAAACAAAACAAAAACAAACCAGTAACACTATGATCTTAATTAGAGATGACCAAAGAGAGCTCGGGCCTATGGCTCAGCACTGCAGTGCATGTTTCACATGCAAAATATCCCAGGTCTTTTCCCAGCTCCCAACATTTAAAAGGACCAAGTGGTGGGTATCCTAAATGACCTTATGCCTGAGATCCTGGCAGACTGCTATCAGAGCAGATAATAGCCAGCTAAATGTGCAGAGAAAACACCCTGACTCAACAGAGGTATGTGGATTTGTGTTTGTGATTCAAAAAAGCACTTATAGCTGCCTAGGGAATTCTGGAAGTTGGAGTCCAAAAACATCAAATCTGCACACCTTTATGAAGGTTTCTATGCTTCTAATCTCATGAAAATCTTTACTAACACACTGACATGGATTAGTACATGGGTCTGTGTGTGGGGATGTGCATTTGTGCAGAAGTGCAGATGGGCAGGAGTGTGTGTGTGCAGGGGGCAGGAGTGCATGTGGGTGGATGGGAGTCCCTGTTGTCACATTCCCTGGGGTTACAACAGCAGAGTCCAATAAGCCAGTCCTATGTCAGAAATTCAGAAAATGCAGAGCCAATATCCAAATACCAATGCCAACTCACACAACATAGTCCAGGGTCAGAGTCCAAAGCCAAGGGTCCAGAGAACAAGGTACAAGATAGTCAGGAGTGTGGATGCAAGCCAGAGGTTTGACTTGTTGCTTCCACGGACTTTCAGCCGTCTGAGAGCTGCTTATATAGTAAAAACAGCCCTTGAACTGCTGGAAGCCTTTTCATCCTGTCAGAACTCAGGGCTATTTGATCAGATGTTTCTGTGGGGAGCCTTCAAGCAATCATCTGACCTTTTCGTCATAAGTCTTCCCCGAAGCCTGGCCCTCACCCTGTCTACTGGGGGAGGAGAATCTGGAGGCGATTCAGCTGTTTGTGTTTCTAATCACTCAGCATTCTCCTCAGCTACAGTTAACCCCTCAGGTTCCGGATCTTTGGCTGCACTCATGACACCTGTGTGTGTGTAGGTGGGTGGGCGAGAGTGCATGCGTGCGAGTGGGCAGGAGTGCATGTATGTGTT